GGGCAAGAGCTGCATGGAGTCATTTGCATGCCTCAGCCTAGGAGCCGGACCTGCTGCTGGCTGCTTCCAGGGCACAGCCCCGTGTCAGAACAGGTAGAGACTAGTCTGCCTTAGTCGGGCAGCATCGCTGATGGGACTTTTAACGGCCCGGTCGGCGGTGCTGACCAGAGCCACCGCGACCCAGTGTCTTACAGTCCACAACCCAGTACTGGGTCGCGACCCACAGTTTGAAAAGACACTATATTAGAGCATTTGCAGTGGTGAAAGGACTGCTGGGAGTCTGCATCCATGATAAGTAATTCTACAATGACAAAGCACAATCCAACCCTTATGAACAGATGTCCTGTAATAGATTTGGATTTGGAGGGGGTTATAAACAGGGAGTTTGGGAGGGTATTAAATGATTAAAAATGACAGTGCCTTTAAATATGGAGTTCAGCTTTCCTTCTTTCATCTTTTATTGTGTCACCATCATTACAAAGACACCATATTGTATTCTTAGAGTTCCTACTACAGAGAAACTCTGTAAGTAACTGTCAGTAGTGTAGTGGTTAAATTGCTGCACATAGTGACCTTTATGACAGGAGGCTATTGAACTGTTATTGGTCACATCCAGTAGAAGTCTTGTCTCTTATTTGAAGTATTCTTTTTCTTCTCCTAGGTGATTTGCTGTTGGGTGACTGGTTTCTCGGGTGGCTGAACAATATTAAGTTATTTCTGCAAGCTACTTCAAAGAACAAACTTATGAGAAATCTATTTATAAAGAATTTCTAATAAAAACCATATGTATATTGCCTCTGTGGCACCTCCATTATCTGATCTTGACTGGCTGATAGAGATATATTTTCCTCTTAATAAAGGATTTAAAAATGCTCATTCCCCTTTTATTTTTAAAGCAAAGACACCCCCACCTTCTAACCCAAACCATTTTCTGTAGTATGTTGGGCAGGAATTGGTTAATGACTCTCCTCCTTTCCTTTCCCTATCCACATTGGAATAAGAACTGCGATAGCTGTAATCATATTAAAATATGCTGGTTTCTAGCGAGATTTTTCTCTTTACTACTATGGATGGGGAAATCATGCTAGCGATAAGTGATCCTATTGTGGACAAAAGCAAAGATATGCTGAAGCCTGTTGTGCAGGGATAACCGGTATCGCAGATAAGTCAGGGCATCTGCTCCTGTAAGCCTGCTGCTCTTTGCAAGGAACTTCCCCTAGGGTTGAAGCAGGTTCTGCTGCTCCTAATGTTGTGCTGTCCACATCTGAGACAGAATTTTAATAATCATTGGCACTTCTGTACCATTGCTTGAAAAATTCACTAGCTCATGGAAAGTTAGGAACTTTCCATGTCAAGTTGGGGAGGCTTAAGTCAACACCCTTTTAAAAATAAGTTTCTAGCCCTCATGGATGCTCAGATACACTCACAATTAACTGATACAGTGCTACCTTTGTCCTGAGTCGTCACCCATGTTTCACTATATCTACTGGTTCAGGGCTTTCCCAAGCCTGCTGCAAGGTGACATTAACAAGACATTTGTCAGTTTCTCTGGTGTTATTCAAAACCCTTTGGGTGGTACAAAAACTGACAATTTAATTTTGACTGGTGCTTGTGAAAGCTGGGAGTTGAGTCTATTTACAAATAAGGGACCTTAAAAATGGAAGCTGGGGAAGGGAGGGGTAGAGAAGCAGACCTCCCTTCACTAACAGCTATGGGTTGGGTGAGATAACTCGTTCTCCTTTACAGCGTCTCTAGAGTGGGCCCTTCACATTTGTCAGAGACCTTCTGTCCAGAAGCTGATCCAAAAGACTGAGCCTCATGCAGTCATCAGAAACAACACCCTGGAAGTAATCCCAATGCACTCTCACTTCCCAGAAACTTCTGTTTCTATTGGTGGTTCGTCTCTTGTGTTAGCCTGTGTTTTGAGGGTTTTGTTTTCTAGTAGAAAGCATACAGTAAACTTTTAAGTTTTGTATCTATAGCCACCTCTACCAAAGGATCTGTAAGCATTTTACATATGTTAATTAAACCTTAACCTGCTCTGTCAGGAAGGTAAATAATATCTTCATTGTATTGCGGGGAAACAGACCCAAAAGGGCAATTATTTGCTCAGGGTCACAGTGAGGTGGTGGCAAACCAGCAATAGAACTTGCATCTCCTGGTGCATATTCCTGCCCTTTGGCCACAAGATCATCCTTTCCTCCTTCGTGAAGGCCAAGAAAGAGTGAAAAAGGAAGATGAGTATCCTCCATTTATATCTCCTAGGTTCCAGTTCTCCCTATCTGCTACAGCCTACAACTAACTCCCTGTCAAGACAGTAGGAGTTGCTTGGGTCTGTTGGGGGGAGGAGCAGGGAAGAACAGCTCTGTGTTTGCTAGGAACCTAATCTAAATGTCTTTAACTTTCTGTTGTCCTGTTTCACCCCCAAACAGACTGTGATGAAAGAAAAAAGTGGTTTTTCAAATTACTCTCTCCTGGTGTATGTGCCAGCCTTAACTTGTACTGTTTCTTCACCCTACGATAAGCTGCCAAAGGTGACCAAGGCTCTGGTATTGCTTACTTTGGTCCTAATGAGTGTTTCACATGGAGCCAGTCTTCCCAGGGACAAAATCATCCAGGGATGGTGATTGATTGACACTTTCCATCTCCCTTTTTAAAGGTGTCTTCAAGTCTCACGCTAGCGCTTTCTAGTACGAAGTGTGTTAATCCAGAATACGGTATTAGTAGAGGAGCTGCTCGTGTCTCTTTAAGTGACTGGTGCCCATGGGAATGGTATGATAGGCATGGCTGCTGTAAGTTTGTCCTGAAACACAACCACCCTTGTAATCCTATCTTACGCAAAGGCCTATTCCATTGGCCTATGCAGGCTGACTTCATACTGTCATCCTTTGCATCCATATTCTGATCTCAAAGGATGCATCTGGCCGTGAAAAGTGACTGCTTCCTGACAACCGTGAGAATTCTCCCACCGGAGCACAGCTGATGATTTTGTTACTGATGCAGAGGATAGAACAGGATCCGGTTTGCTATCCCAGAGCTCTGTTGACACTATAGGACGACAGAAGAAGATGTTACAACCCTGACTAGTGCTGCTGTTGTAAGGGACAGGAAGAGCCCAGCTGGATCCTCAAAGCCTGAGTGCAGTTTGCAGTAGTGATCACTAGAGAAAACATCCTTTTGCAGCATATTGGCTCTGGAATCATGGGGAGGAGTAACTGCTCCCATTGTGTAACTTTAGGAGTCACTCTAGTGTCAGTGCACTTCAAATACATGAACAAGGGTATGTTTTTCTTTCTGTACTGGATGAAACCCCTCTGTGTTTGCAGAGAACTATAAAAGTTTAACATGGTGTTATGTTTCCTGTGGGGTGAGCATTCCTTCCATTGCTGTGTAGCTGCCAGCTAACTTTGCTGGCAGCAACAGTGCTGCTGCTGCTGCTGTAACATGGATTGTAGAAGGTGCACAACCACTGACAGTGCTGCCTAGTGGTCAGGCAGTGGTTGACAGGACATCTCCCCGCTGAAGCACATCCCTGTCTTTCAGCGCTCACCCCCCAATAGTTTCCAGTCCTTCCCTTTTGCACAGGGGCTTTGCGGGCTGGGCCCTTGAACAGTTACAGTCTTTTCCAGCTGGCCTCTCACTGGAGGTGAAGGCTCTTGTAGTATTGTCCGTTTCAGAACGGGTAGGGGAGCTCAGGCCCTCCCTGTTCATCAGGCTCTAGTCCAGGGCCTAAATGGTGGGCAGCTCCAATCAGCACCTTGCAGTGCTAAAGCCACTGCCCCCCAGACCACTTCCTACCCTAGCCTCTTCTAGCTTCCCAGAGTAAGTCACTCTGATCAGGTCTCTGACCGGCGCACTCTGTCCCATGCTTCTCTTTTATGGGTTTGCACAAGTCTGTTTTATCAGGTCCCAGGCAATGAGCTCCTAGGCAGCACTTTCCCCTTAGAGCAGCTGTCTTCTCCCTTCCACTGCCCGCCTTCTGAGCTGCTTTGCTCTCCTTTTTAAAACCCTGCCTCCAGCTTGTGTAGGCTTTGCAGGTGTGTCTGGGTGGGGCAGCCTGAGTCCGGAGCTGTTCCTTAACCCCCTGCTCTCCAATGTGGGGTTTGTATACCCCATCACATAGGTCCAAACAGAAGACCTGCTCATATAGTAGACAAGTGCACCCTAATTGCACCATGCCTTCCTCCTATTGGTGGAATAGAAATACAGCTTCCCCACAGCCTGCTGGAGATGGGAGGGAGGATCCTATGCTAGGGTAGAATTTGTCCATTGCACATTTCCAAGCAGTCCCCTTAACGTTCCCCATCCCCCTGTGCCCTGTAGCATCATCATGTTAAAGGTGTGAAAATCCTATTGGCTCCTCCACTGAAATTCACCCCTCACACATTCATGTTTGCAGTGTGTTCAGAGCAGGATCATTGCGCACACTATACGCTCCAGTACTCTGCCCAGTCTAAGTTTAAATGTCCCACATGATGGAGTTGCCATCATGTCCCCTAGGAGGCTATGCCACAGTCTGACAGGTCTCCTCACTAGAAAGCATTTCCTGATGTCTTGACTATGTTTTCCTTTGCTAGCTTCTTCCCATTGCTATTAGTTATCACCCAGCAGGGAGGTAGACTTTCTGGTTTTGTAATATGATGGACATTCCTTTGCCCCAAAACAATAGTGAGGAATAGTGTGTAAGCACCCCCCCCCCCCCCCCACACACACACACTGTGATAAACTAGCTACTTTTCTCCTTTCTCAGCTCCGTGTTGGGCTTATCTAGTTCTCTGAGTTATGTTAAGTGGCCAGTGCCAGTCTGTTCTCTGTTCCCCTCACTGGCTTTGCTCTTTGGATTTCAATTCCAAACATGGTTATCCATTTGGGGTCTCTCTTCATTCCGTTGCCAAGTGATATACATTCCAAATTCAACACAAGTGCCCGTTGCTCCCCCCTCCCTCTCTGTCTCCCTGCTGCTCTCTCACAGTCTCTATTTTCAATCCTGGAGGGTTGGGGAGAGTGAAAGCAACAGGAGCTCTTTCCAATCCCATTCTCTGATGAGTTCTCTAGCTGAATCCCTCTCCTTACTCTGTGACTGAACTCTTCGGACCTCTTTCCCTGCTCCGTCTCCTGAAGGCAGTTAGTGGGGGAAGCCATCTGGCAGGACCGTGCACCTCACCAACAGCAAAGAGAAAAATAAGCCATTTGGATTCCCCAGCTTGTTTTTTGTTTTTTTTTGGTACGAACAAGTTTAAAGTTATTTTTAAAATGTTGCTCTGAAGGGCGTTCCAGTGGGACCAGTGAGCTCCAGGGAGAGGAGCTGCCAGGCGGCTCCGATTACAGCTGTCTCTGTAATTTTTATATGACAATACGTTTGTAAAGCAGGACGGCTGGGAGGGTGGGGAAAGGGGAAGGATGAGCAGAAACAGCTCCCCTTGGGACCAGCTACTTTTTCAGCCCCCTTTATGCGAGGGCTGGAAGCAGAATGTTGAGGGAGCAGCCTATCACCTGGGCAATTGCATCCTCCTCCTAGGCTACATGGGGGGAAGTGGGATCTTTGGCTCCATCTATATCTTCAGCCTTCTGGCCACTGGCTACATCTGCTATGCTCTGTGGGGCTGGCTGAATGCCTGTGGACTAGACATCTTCATCTGGAATATGCTGCTGGTCATGGCCTGCATACTTCAGCTGGCTCACCTGATATACCGGCTCCACAAGCACACCTTCTTGGAAGAGTTTGACCTCCTCTACAAGACCCTCTGCCAGCCCTTGCAGGTGCCCTTTGAGGTCTACAAAGAGATTGTGAAATGCTGCGAAGAGAAGGTCCTGTCACTGGCCAGAGACCAGAACTACGCTGTGGAGGGCAAGACGCCCATCAACCGCCTGTCTCTGCTGCTCTCTGGCAGGTAGGCTGTTCCCTCTCCTGACAAGACATTTCCCAGCCCTGGAATGTTGATCCACCTTAATATTTAGGGATAGTTTTGTAGAATTCAGCTAGCAACAATGAATTTGCCTGGTCGGCCTTCCTGGGGATATGTGGGGAGGATTTTAATCTCTTTCCCTGCCATTTTTAAAACAATCTTAGTGCTGATGGGAGGTGATGATTTACAGTGCTGGAGTCTGAAGGCCTCTATCGATAGAACAGGTACAACCTGGACAGCGGTAGTGAAGCTTCTCCCTTACCAGCTTGCTGGAGGAAGGCAGAGAGGCCTCTTTGATCCTGTGGTCTCTTGGGTACCACTTACAATGGTAATTTTTGTGACATGGTTGCCTGTCTCCTAGGAACTGCTCTGAAATTCACCAGTTTGTCTCAGCCAAAAGCTTAGAAGGGAATGGTTCCATCTCTCACTCCCAATGCCCAAAGCCAGTGGTTCACAACTGGGTCGTTTGGTAAGAGAAAAATCCTTTGATGATCCCACCTCATCTGGCAGCCCTCCTGCCCTAATCCATCAATGCCACTTCATTCTGTGGGCCACCAAGAAGGGTTCCATGGACCACTGGACATCCGCAGACCTTAGTTTGAGAACCACGGCACATAACTGTATTCCTCCATTTACCTGAGTCTCTGATTAGGTAGTGTAGTGCAGTGACTGTATTAATGAGGAAGGACTTTGTGAAGTTTACTTGCTTTGGGCAAAGAAGTCGTTTTAGCAGCATGTCTAGTTTTCAATTCAAAATATTAAAATATAGAAAAGCAAAAGTAGCACTATGGGGATGTCTACACAGTAATTTAAGCCAGGGTCTGAGCATGGGCTCAAACCAACCCCCCCACCCACCACCACTTTACGTCCACATTGCAAATGTGCTAACCAAGACCTCAGATCCAGGGCAGGAGAGTCCGAGCCCATGGTAAGCTGGGACCTAGGGTCTGAGCCCTATTGCTTTCCTTTGTGCAAACGGCCTCGGCTTGACTTGGGTCCTGGAAGTCCTCTGGATTTATCCCAGAGTTCCTGGCAGCAGAGGAGCAGTGCTGCAGACAGCCAGCACAGTGGTCGGAAGGGTCATTACTGCCTGGCTGAGCACGCTCCCACTTCCCGCTCCGGTGGAGCTTGCCTGGAGCAGGGAGCAAAGCCGACAGGTAGGAGGAGGTTCCTGCTCGCCAGGATGTTCGGGATCATCCCTCCCCCAGCCATGCTGAGCCGGGAGCTCTGTTGCTTCCCCTCCCTGTAGGGTGGTGCTTGGTCCCACTCTGTTCTCTGGCCCTTGTTCCTGGGACCCTCCTCCCCGCACTCCCTGGGGCTGTGTATGCAGGGCACTCGGCAGTGTGCACTGCAGGGTGGTGACGGAGAGCCAGCTCCAAAACTTCCCCACAGCCTCCTGAGGATCCCTTCTCCCTGCCTCCCACAGTGCAGCAGGGGCAGGAAGAAGGGATCCCAGAGGTGCTGGAGCACACTACACCCCAAGCCCTGGGGATGCATTTCACCCCCTGCAGCCGGCACCAGCCAGGGTGTGTGTGTGTGTGTGTGTGTGTGTTCTGTGATACCTTCATTTTATGTCAAACTTAAAAACAAACAGACAAAGATAAATAAAAAAGCCAAGCAAACAAAAACATCTTCATTGAACAGCCCATTCTAAAAATTAAGAATTGCAAAGTTTCACTGTAATCTTTTGACAGCCCTGGAGACTGATGTCCTAGTTATCCTCAGAGCAGGTGCCCATGGGCATTGTCCTGCCATGGGACTCAGCCTAGAGGTGGGGAGCCCAATTCTCAGATTAGATGGTAGTTCAGTATAAGGCCCTCTCAAACTGCTGTCGTTCTACTGAGAGCCACCAAGGGAGCTGAACATGCAGGTTATGTACTCGTGTGCTCCTTATGGGCATCAATAGCCCCGCCACAGTTAGGAAACAGGGTGAGCAGTAGAGTTTTCCCACAGTAAGCCACATTCCTAGGGCTAGAGTGTTGACATGTGGGAGGTGCTAGGCACTTTGGGATATGTTTACTTTGATTCGGGTCTGTGCACTGCAGGGTGGATGCCAGAGCCCTAAGTTCGAGCATGGGTCAGAAAATTCACAACCTAGGGTTAAAATGCAATGTAGACTCTCAAGCCCAGGGTTCCCTGACACTAGGCTTACATTGCTGTGTAGATATAGCTTATGTTACCTCCCACTGCCAGCCACTCTGCAGCAACACAAAATGAAACAGATCAAGAGAAAGGAAAGAATCAATGGGAGCCACTTTTAGTTCCAAGAATGGCCTACCAGAATCCCATGGGTGAGGTAGTGAGCTTGGCTGGGGTAGGCTGAGAACATTGCTTGGCATTCCAGCTGTCTGTAACTCACCAGATCATTTCTCTGGTGCTGCAGTCCCAACTCTTGCCCTGCTGCTCTGATGGGGATTTCAGGACTTCCAAAGGGTTCAGGACCAATTTCTTTCTTTATTTGTTCACTACACTAAGCCCACGTACAATCAAACCATTCACAAATCGTTCCATGATTTCTTCCTACTGGACAGGTAGGTGTGTATGTGGGAAGGGCAGTTCTTCCTTCTCCTCCTGTTTGTCACCTTCCTCCATCATCTTGGGTGGAATTGCAGAGCATAGCAGGCTCATCAGACAACAAATATAATATTTAGTACTCTACACTTAGCTAAGACCTTTCATTTGGGGATCTCAAAGCACATCACAAACAAAGATTGTTAAAGCTTCCATAAGTTGCTTGGCTCATCGAACAGACCTAACCTAATCACTGTGGGCTCAGAGGGCGCCTTATGCTACGGAGTTTGTTGTTCATAGTCTGAGCTGTGTGTCAAAATCCTAGCGCTTGTACAGCTCTTTATATCTTTACTTGCTTTGTAAACAATTTTTACACCCTCTCCCACCGTGAGGTATTTATGTAACGTCTCCCCCATTTTACACAGGAAGCTGAGGCACAGAGTGGCAAAGCCCTAGTTCATATAGGGGGGTCTGTGGTGGCTGAGCTGTGACTAGAAGCCAGGAATCTTAATTCCCAGGGCTTTGCTCAGACCATGTCTCCCATTTTAACTGCGGAATGGTTCTGGTTTAAGGTTACGCTAAGGGGGGGTTGGGGTGTGGTAGATAACGTGCTCCCTTTGAATAAGGAAAAAATCAGTGACTAAGGCCCATATGCTTCCTCCCCCCGCCCTGCTTGCAGCCCCTTGCTGCGCAAGGTGAAGGGGAGCAAATCCACAGAGAAAATGCAGTGGGAGAAAGTGGCTAAGTGAGGGTATTGCCAAATATCTGTCCCCCTGCCAACAATCTGCATCCAGCAGCATGCTTCAAAACTGTAGCTAACCTACTGGTAAAGTCAGTGGAGAGTTAATACTGTCTTACCTCCCACTGAGTGCTCTGGGACTCCACTTCATGGGATCAGAGTGCTGCTGAAGGAAGTTAGCTAATTACATCAAAGCTATTGGTCCTGCCATACTGCCACGGATGTGGGGGTAGCATGGAGGGTGAGTCTCAGCCCAGCTGCATGTGCTCCACAGGTCTGGCACTGTACCCCCAGTTCCCTCGTCTGGCCTCTCCATGCCAGCCCTTTCTATTCCTGCAGGCTGTGGGGATGGGCAGGAGAATGGGGGAAAGGCTGCAATGGAGCATTACTGTGCTCCACTCTGCATGCTATTGTACAGAAAGGGAGTGCAGGGGCCTTGACTATTTCATTATTGTGCAGGCTATTTCAGGGTTCCACACTAGCAATAGTCTAAAAGCAGCAAGAGGGGAACCTCAAAAGTACAGAGTTCATATTAGAAAGCTCAGATAACAATAGTTTGCCCTTCTCTATCTCCTTCAATCTCAAAAGCTCCAATTACTTTACAAACATGAATGAATTGAACTTTCCAGCTACCCTGGGAGACAGCAGAATCACTATGGCCATTGTACAGATAGGAAAACTGAGGCATAGAGAAGGGAAGAGACTTGCCCCAGCACACACAAGTCAATGGCAGAGCCAGGAACAAAACCCAGGTCTCCAGACTCCAAATCCTGTGCCTTAACTGCAAGACCTGGCTTTCTCCCTTTTGTAGGCTTGAACCAGCGCTGGTCACAAGTTTGACCTTAACTTTGTTAGGCAGCTGCAGTGGCAATAAGGGAAAGGGATACATGGAAAGCAGTGAGGCCAAAAGAAACTGAATGATAGTGGACAGCAAAGTATGAATTTGCTGTGTGATATGGCTGCAGCAACGGCCAATATGATTTTGGGCTTTATAAATAGAGGCATCACGCCATGGAGCATGGGGGCATAGATTCTTCCTATACTGCCCTGATGCAACTACACCTGGGTTTAGTTTTGGGTATTGGTGTAGGAAAGAGGTGGATAAGTTGAAAGGAGTTGAGGAAAAGGCAACAAAATGGTCAGTGGACTGGAAGGAGAGGTGAAAAGAAATTGGTATGAAGAGTTTGTCCTGATGATGGCTGAGGGGCAGTCATACTAACCATCTCCAAGTAGCTGAAGAGGAGAAACCCCCAGGATAGGAGGAATGGTTTAGAATGGGCCAAAGGAGTAATGTGATGACATTAAGAGAGGGAAAATGTTGGCTGAGTATCAGGAAAGACATACTGGCAGTGAGATCTATGATATTAGCCTATTAACAATTTCCCAAGAGAAGGGATAGAAGCTTCATTAACTGGGACATTTGTAACTAGACTGGAGAAGACACCAGACAAATATACTCTAGGGAACAATCCTGCACTGACAGAGGGATGGAGTACATGTAGCTTCTTTGAGCAGATTCTGTACAGGTTACACTGGTTCACCCACCAGCCCTTTTCTGGCCTAAGCCCGTCATTCTCCTGTTCTCTGTCTAGGGTCAGAGTGAGCCAGGATGGACAGTTCCTGCACTATGTCTTCCCCTACCAGTTCCTGGACTCCCCAGAGTGGGAGTCACTGCGACCTTCCGAGGAGGGAACGTTCCAGGTAACTCAGCACTACCACCTGGCAGCTCTACTGCTCAGACTTGGGCTTTAGTGCTTTGTACGTGTGCAGGAGAGAGTGGAGAGGAGGAAGATGGAAGGTAGTGGAGAGGGCCAGAGAAGCGTTGTTAATCCTCAGGCTTTGAGCTCTCAGCAGCTCACGCAGCTAGGTCTGGAAGACATTCCTCCCCTATCTCCACCATGTTATAGTACAACATTGCATGATCAGATGCATTGTCATATTTCTGCCTTCCTCTGAAACACCCAGCATTGGCTGTGGTTGACCATAGGATACCAGACTAGCAGTATCGTTGATCTGGTTCTGATTGGCAGGGAGACAGCATGTTAGACTAGCCCAGGGGTTCTCAAACTGGGGGTTGGGACCCCTCAGGGGTTTGCGAGGTTATTACATGGGTGGTCGCGAGCTGTCAACCTCCACCTCAAACCCCGCTTTGCCTCTAACATTTATAATGGTGTTAAATATATAAACAAGTGTTTTTAATTTATAAGGGGGGGATCCCACTCAGAGGCTTGCTGTGTGAAAGGGGTCACCAGTACAAAAGTTTGAGAACCACTGGACTAGATGGATCACTATTTTGCTTCCATTATGGCGATTTTTAATACCAGCATTAATGTGTTGCACAATGAGAGGGGAAACCTCACAAGAACTGCAGAATTGTGTGCTGCTGCTGTGGGAAAGGATGACAGTGACAGGAAAGACTTAAATAGCTTATTTTTCAAAGATCTGAGTTTTTGATGATGATGATGATGATGATTCTCAGGCAGGGAAGCGTGGGGAGAGAGAAAGAGGATGTTTTATATTCAAATCTAGTTCCTGTACTTTCAAATTGCAAACAACCCTCCTTAAGGCATGGGGGATTCTCCTGGGACTGAATCACTCATTGTTATTTGTAGCAATTAAACCTATTGATTTTTGTTTTCATCTATCCCATCAACACCATAGAATCGAGTCCCTCCCATTCTGCAGGAAGGTTATTAAGTAGATGGACAGGTTCATCTCTCTGCAGTCTGGTGTAGGCTGATTCCAGTCAGTAGATGAATGGCCAGAACCTAGAATATGCCAGAAAGGACATGTCTGACGTGATTTTACTAATTCCCTGGGAGTGTAATCAAGGTCAGCAGAGAGTAACGCCTTTCCCCAGACAGGGCCAAATTCAGACCTGCGGCAAATGGGTGCAGCTCTACTGAAGCCAGCTTCCTGCTGAGGTCAGACCTGAATGTGGTCCACATACTGTGAGTGAGAGGGTTGTTAAAGCTACTTTGAAAAATGAATCTGACAAACTGATGGTTGGTAGATGCACGAGGAGTCCTTCCATATTATTGCTGAACTTCTGATTACAGTAGCAGCTTACCGGTAATTCTTAGCACAGCATGTGTGAGCTGAGCAGGGAGACAGTGGCCATGCCGTCCCCTATGAGTGTGGCGTCTCACTCAGGGTGGGAAAGACAGGTTTGATGACAGTAGTCCTGGAAAGCTGCCTGTGGTGCTTTCTGGTCTGAAAAGTTAATTGGGCAATTTCTGGGGAAGGGTTTATTTTTGCTTAGCCAGCTCCACATATTGCAACATGCAGTTTTTGAATCCATTTAACCCGTCAGTCCCTCCTCTCTGAATCTCAGCTCAGTCCCATGGTGTGAATCACTCTGTAACTCCCCAGATGACCCCAACCTCATTTCTTCAGATATAGTTGATTGCTCCAAAAACATTTTGGATAAAAGCAGACATTTCCATTTGGGGCCTTCCTTGAGGGGAGGGAGGGGGAATTTCCTTGCCTAAGTTCCCCCTCCACTGTTGGGCTCAATTGTTTCAATTTGGTGCAGAATGGAGAATGGCAGAAGATTAATTAGCTGTGACAGGATCTGGTTGCCGCCTGGATTCTGACCTGGATTTGTCTTCTACTCAGAGAGCAGCTGGCTCGCAGTCTGAACTGGATCAGGTTTCATAGTTACAGTATTTACCCAGAACATTGACCTATGGGGCCTGATGGTGCAGAGAGAGAGAGAGAGAGTGAGTCTGTCTGTCTGCCCTGTAAGGACCCGGGGGGAGTGGGGGGGTTGTTACTCTATTTCACTTCATGCATTGTGAGAGAAAGAGGTGCTGGTTCAGGAGGGATTCAACTGATTGTTAGGAAAATGAGGCTCTATCCCTTTAAGTTTCAGCATGACCCTGACTCACTCACAGCCCATCTCAGGGAAGTTCTCATATTCTACCTCCTATGTTTCATAAGGCAGCTGCTTGCATGGCAGTGGCATTAAATATCAAACCCAAGGACGCACACTGCAGCTCAGCCTTGTTTGGCTTCCCAGCAGCCCCTGCCATGGTTTCTGGCCAAGGAGACCCCTGCGTATGCAGCGCACAGGGAGGCCCCAGGATATTTTGGCCCAGCTGTAACACTTGTTCACATAGCTGTGTCTCAGTTACACTTTGACGTGCCACACTTTGCTCCAGCCTAAGAAGGCTTGGTCCTTTGACATGTTTCCCCATCCCACAGCCCGAAAAAGAACCTATTTTCCCCTGGGCAAGATTTTAAAAAACCCCAAACTTTCTGCAACAACAACCAAGTTAAACCCCTAATGTTCTGGCCAACTTCCAACTCAGATAATTTTGCTCTGCTTCCTGCAATCCTCCCCGCAGTATCAAATGCATTCGCTAGCCTTTCTCCCTCGCTGTCGTGAACTGGGGTGTGTTGCAGTGCACTGTTAAACAGCTCTTGTGTTCTACCCCAGAGGTGGTGGCCTGAGGGGTATCCAATGGAATGAGTTGAGAGACCCCACTGTCTAAAACAATCTAGCAAACTTGAATGCAGCCTGCAGCACCTGCCTTCCCTCGAGCTGGTGACAGGTGGTGCTGCCCTCCAAAAGAAAGCTTTGTTTCATTTTCCATTTCCCAGCCACTCTGAAACCACACACACCTGCCATCCAGCTAACGAGTGAGGGGAAGCCCATTACAATGCTGTGCAAGGGCAATACGGAGCCACCGTTTTTTATATGTAGCTCTCCCCCTTGAAACCAATCATTCTCCCCAATGGTAACGGTTCTGCAAAATAGTAAGGCTCCCAATGCCACCTGTGCTACCCTAGTCTTTTCAGTGGCATGGCACAGGTACAAACGGGGGCATAATTTGAAGATGAGAGGGTGGCAGGGCTGGCTCTGCAAGTGGAATTCACTGAACAGTTGTGTTAATGATGCACAGGAAGGAGCAGACTGCAGCTCCCTCTCTCTGAGCCGTACTGGCTCTGCATGGAGAAAACAGGCCTGAAAAGCAATAAAAGCCCGATTTAGTCTGTAAACTCAGCAGCTCCTACTCTCCTACACACAGTGATGGAACCAAAGTCTTCTCAGTGTGGCTTATTGTGCTCATTTCCCCGCTCCTCCCCCTGCAGGTCACGTTGACAGCAGAGACGGACTGCAGTTATATCACCTGGCCAAGGAGGAAGCTCTACCTCCTCTTGGCAAAAGATCGCTACATCGCCCGCCTCTTCTCGGCCTTCCTCGGCTACGACATCTCGGAGAAATTGTACGCCCTCAACGATAAGCTCTTCGCTAAGTTCGGCCTGCGCTTTGACATCCGCTTACCCAGCCTCCACCACGTCCTGGGACCCGCCTCCTCAGAGGCTGAGGCCGAGAAGGAGCTGTATGAGTGGGAGGAGCTGGCCGTGCCCCATCGTCCGATGCCTACCTTTGTCCAGACAGCTGCCTCAGCCCCTCCTCCTCCTCCTTCTGCCCACCCCAAGGCTCCCCGGCCTGACAGTGCCCTGCTGGGTGAGGACTCTACCAGTCTTGTGTTGGAAGATTTTGCTGAGTTGTCAGGGTCTTTTATGGACTATGTAAGCGAAGGGGAGTATATGAAGTGAGGGCACTTCTAACGTGGGCACACGTCACCCTGTGTGGGATCCCCATGTAAGTACTCGCTTGCCTGCGGAAGGAAACACTTCCCTCCGTGCCTGGGCCTTGGAGGCGATGGCTAATGGGACTGGCTGTGCAAAGCTTAGCACTAACTCTGCCTAGGGGAGGGGAGGGCTAAAGTGTCCCAATGCTTGGCCAGTTTGCTCATGCTTTGATTCCTTGCAAACTTGGTAAATGGCATGAATCCTGGCAGTCTCCACTCAGTCTTTAGGGATTGGGCACCGTGTAAACAGGCACCCAATTGCTAGGTAGGAATAAAGAAAGATGACCTGCTGGTGTCATTAACTCCCACTGGGTAGCTTCCTATCAAAGTTAACTTCATCAGTCAGCAAGACATTGGTCCAGCTATAGCTGGGCTTTGGGGCGTGAGGGGAATCCCAGTTTCAGGGAAATCACCCAATGATCTTGTTACTTACCCAAAATAAATCAGCTGAGGTAATGCTGTCAGTAAAGGCTGCAAAGACTGTTGTGAAATTTCCACACTACAGCATTTTCAGGACACTTCCTCATCAGAATCTCATGAGATGTGCTGCGTCGGGTGTATTTCCCCCAAGGAGGTTCATAACAGAATCTTCTTGAAGAACCCGGTTTAAAGGTTTGACTCCAGGCTCTGGTAGCCTCAGTTAACCATAACATTATACAGCCAGGCTACAGTATCCCTAGATCTGAGGGAATCTTAGACCAAGCAGAGTGTCTTGGGAGGAGGGTGCATGACACTGAGTAATGGTGTAAAGCTGAGGCAGAATGGAGACACAACAAGGAGAGACACTTATAAGGAATTTGAAGGGTGTCAAGTCATTTTCCTTGGTACCTGGAACAAAACAACAGGACAGAAAATAAACAGATTTTCTGACTCTGTCAGGGCCATAAAGAATACAGAGGAGAGTGCAGGACAGTGAGGTATGGATGCTTTTGAAGGGAGCTTGGGAAATTTCAGGGAATGCAAACACTGGCTTTCTCCATGGGGTTTCTTGAATTCTCTTTGGCTCCCAGAAAGCACACAAGGCCAAATTGTGCCCTCAGTCACAAGAGACCAACTCCAGGGAATTCAGTAAGATTCAGGACTTTGGTGGGATTGCATGGGTGTCGCCACTGGCAAGCTTTGGCCCAGTGTGCCTGATTCTGTCCTCACACTGCCATACTCTGGTGTGACTCGGTTGACTTCAGTGTGGTTATTCCTGACTTACACTGATGTCAGTGAGGACAGGCTAAGGCCAGACACCAGGGCACCAGACGAATGCATGGCTGGTGGAGAACTGAAACATTTCTATCTCTAGGGTAGGGCTGCGCACCAAGATGAATTAAAGAAACGTCAGCTCAGGCTTTGGAATAGAGAGACTGACAGCTTACAAGAAACGCTTGGGGTTGATTCTGGCCCCTGCCCTGTACCCTGAATTGTCACCCTAGTGACATATAGGTGCTGTAAAGGTACCACAGCCAGTGGAGGGGAGAATCCCCCTGTGCACGAGCAGTGTAAGGTCAACCCCATGTTGTCCCTCTTGCAGCCCCAGCCATGGGGCATGCTGTGGGTGAGGAGCACGGTGGTCTATTGCACTGTGCACCATGGAGACTCTGGGCTGCTTCAAGCTGTAGAACAGGCCACAGGTGATCTGGGTAAGGCTGCTGTAAATTGGAACAGCCCGAGGGCTGCTCTAATTTACACTAGGGGCTGCACCATGCCCTACTGGCACAAGATTTGAGGGGCACAAAGATGGTTCAAAGCCACCTTTGCGCCTGCTCTCCCTGGGCTGTCCTGCCTGTGAGGCACAACACAGAATCTGCCCCCTTGTTTCTACCTAGACTCAACTCAGCCAGATTGAAAGGGTTTGGCCAAGGTTCCCGTGTTCCAATAGCCATTATTTTAAAACGTTCCTGGGTTGGCTGAGAGGAGATGAGTGTGGTGGCCGCATGTCATGGATTCCCCTCTGCATGAGTCTCATTACAGGAATGCACTGGGCTTCCCTGCCTCACTACCGCCACTGGTGCATGGGAATAACACGCTGTCTTCCTAAGATCCTTCCTCACACCCATTCCTCACTCTGCAAAGGAAGAATTGCTGGGGTCCGTGCAGGCTAAAGGGAGCTGGGAGAGATTTGTCAACAAAAAAAGATGCTGGAATCATTTGTGCTGGAAATTCTGAGCCAAAGGGTTAAGGGTTACATTCCAGGCTGAGCTACATGTAGCCACTCGCTGAATGTTGATTCCAGTCACTGCACTGCGATAGCTATCCTTTGGTTTCCCGTGGCCAGTAACTAAGGGTACACCTACACCCCTAGGCGACGTGTGGGGAGGGCATGCGGGATCAAGTGCGCCCCCCCCCCATTTCTGCTTGGCCTGCCGGGTGGGGAGAGAGAGGGGCTCTGTCCTTCTCTTGCTGCACCTGCCCCCAGCACGTTCAGCCCCTGTCCCTGGCAGCTGGGCCTGGGCAAAGGGCGGCCTGCTACTGCCGCCTCCCCAACCAGGCTCTTTCAGGCAGCTGCTGTGCTGCACAGAGGCAGTGACTGGATAGAGCTGCCAACTTTCTACTTGCACAGAACCTTGTCCCACCCCCTGCCCCGCCCCTCCTTCGAGGCCCCGCCTCCAAATCACTCCATCCCCCCTCCCTCTGTCGCTCGCTCTCCTCATCCTCACTCACTTACACCGGACTGGCTCAGGGAGTTGGGGTGCAGGAGGGGGTGAGGGCTCCAGCTTGGGGTGCGGGCTCTGGGGTGGGGCCAGAAATGAGGAGTTCAGGGTGTGGGAGAGGGCTCCAGGCTGGGGCCAGGGGTTGGGGTTCGGGGGGGTGAGGGCTCTGACTGGGGCTGCAGGCTCTGGGGTGGAGCTGGGGATGAGGAGTTTGGGATGCATGAGGGTGCTCCGGACTGGGACCGAGGGGATCGGAGCGTGGGAGGGGGCTCAGGGCTGGGGCAGGGGGTTGAGGTGTAGGAGGGCGTCAGGGGTGCAGGCTCTGGGTGGCGCTTATGTCAAGCAGCTCCTGGAAGCAGCAGCATGTCCCCCCTCCGGTTCCTATGCGGAGGTGCAGCCAGGCGGCTCTGCACGCTGCCCCGTCTGCTGGCACTGCCCCTGCAGCTCCCATTAGCCATGGTTCCTGGCCAATGGGAGCTGCAGAGCCAGTGCTTGGGGTGGGGGCAGCATGCGGAGCCCCTGGGGCCATCCTTCCATCTAGGAGCCAGAGGGAGATGCCGGCAGCTTCCCGGGAGTTGCGGAGAGCCAGGTAGGGAGCCTGCCTTAGCCCCACTGCACCGACCGGACTTTTAACAGCCCAGTCAGCGGTGCTGACCAGAGCCACCTGAGTCCCTTTTCAATCGGGTTTTCCGGTCAAAAACTAGACACCTGGCAACCCTAGACCCAGAGCAGCCAGATTCAGCCACGTGAGAAGCAGCTCCCTCCCATTGCCCGCCCGGGACCGGCTGCCAGGGAGAGTGGCCGAACATGCCAGAGGGAGGCACAGTGGGAGAAGGACAGAGCTCCCTCCTCCCCCACAGGTAACTCTGGAGGGGCAGGGAGAGTGCAGCAGCCCCATGCTGGGCACAGGGCGGGGGGGTTGTTGGGCAGAGGAGACATGTGGGGCAGTCATGTGTCCTCCCCTTTAGTATGGGGAGGTACGAGTGGTCTATGCCTTCACAACAGCTGGGGGTGGAATTTCCAACTTGGGTAGACATACCTACACTAGGCTTGATTGAGCTAGGGTGCTGAAAACAGAATGGTAGCCATGGTGGCATGGGCTAGCTGCCACAAGTGTGTGCCTGCCATCTCAATGGGATTGTACATGCTGTAGCCCCCACTGCCGCAGCTACGCTGCTATTTTTAGCACACTAGCTTGATCGAAGCCAGCTTCTATATGTCTGCTCAAGCTGGAAATTACTCCTCCAGCTGCAGTGTAGCCACATCCCCAGCATGCTGATCACCACACTCCAGTGTCCGGCAACTGTGCTCTGGTAGCAATAAATGCACTCCAAGTGCTCAGTCTCTGTGCTCCGAGGGCCACTCACTGCATTCTGGTGGCTCTCACTGCCATTGTCCTTCAATGCTAGTCCTGGCATTGTAGTGCTATTCACTGTACTCCAGTGCAAGCCACTCTGCTCCAATGGTGATGGTACAGTGTCTTAGTTGAAGCATGAAAATGAAATGAGCCTCAGAGACCAGATGGCTGCTTTTATTTATAGAAGATGTGTGTGTTGGGGTGGGGAGGCTATTCTGGACCAATTTCCTTACTTATTTTCAAAAACCACATGAGAACAACAAAGACTTTATCTGCAGGACTGAAATCTTCCTGTTTTCCAACCTTACTTTGAATTTATGAGCTAAATGCCCATCCTTCGCCTTCCACACAATGCCCCCGTATCTCCAGTGTTGAAAAGGGGCTTTGTGGGTGCCCATTTTTGCTTCTTTTATGTGGGATAAAGATGACCTGCAAAGATTTTTGTCAAAAACCACCAACCAACAAGGCAACAACAAGCCCCAAACTCAAACAAAGTTTATTCCCTTCGCTTGTTTTTTAGCTTAGAAATTTCAGGAATGGCAAGTCTGGTAGTCCCTGTTTTTGTTGAAGGACGCTTTAGAGGATGTGGATTTGGAGCTTTCTCAGGACTTGTTAAAGAGCCAGGAATGCTGAATTTTTCACATAAGGGCTTTTCTTTTAACTGTCAGGCATTTGAATTAAATAGGTGTAAACTGAAATAAATGAAAATCAAAGTTTTGAACAGTCTAAATGACAAGCACTTCATCTTTCATTCAGGTTTCACTTGTCTGTTACCCTCATGGCAGAATGCAATCAGTTCTCCAGTCATCCATAGAGTATTCTAGGATAATCAGGGTTTTGTTAGTGTAGGGTTGCTCATGAAAGCTGGGGCTATGCACACTGGTTTGTTGTTGTGTGACTATGAATGACACAGATTTTACAAACTGATTTTAGAGGGAAAACAGTAAGGTGCCCTGTGGGCCCCACCAGGCCCCACTATCTCCTGGGTGAGTTTGGCAAATGGATAAGATCTGTGGCTGTAATAGTAATAGCCTCTTTTTCCCCCCTTTTCCTCCCACAGCTTCTGGAAGCCTTACCCGGAGTTACCCCTGTGCCCTCTTCAAAGGACGAGCCCCTCTGGCTCCCACCCAGACCCCAGAACTCTAGGGCACAACAGTTGGTTTTGATCAGGAAGACCCACGCATGAGTGTATGCTCACACACCTCTAACCAGAAAGACACTCATTAACATGCACCTACATGTCCACACAACACTCCTGCAAGCACATGAAGTATCTGCATGAGACTGAAGTGTGATGGCTGGACACCTTCCACACCACATTCTGTTCACCTGCAGTGGCACAAGGGATGTCTGGGTGTTCCTTTTTGTATTCTGGTCTTTCACCCCCATGATCTGTTAACAGCTCTGTTATTAGTTCCATTAAATGTGTTGGAAACACAGCAGTATTAGCCTGTCCAGGGAGTCTTTTGATTTGAGGACACCAGTTAAAGAGCGTGTTGATTCACTAGGGTTCAGTGACTTGGAGGGGAGACGCTGATGTTCAGAGGATTTCACATGAGCTCTAGAAGTAGGAAAATGGGACTATAGAAAGACTAAGAATTTTAGTATTTATGTATATTGGGAGGTGGGGTGGAGTGAGGTATGGGACTTGTGCTAGTGATATACATGGCATCCATTCCTATCAGGCTTAAAATTCCATGTCCAGGATTTAACGCTTTTCATTTATGATAACAGCAGCTAAGTAATGAAGTACGTACCAGTTTCTGATGTTGGGAAAAGATTCCCTAGGTCTTTTGGTCAATCCACTTGAAATAAGGAGGATGAGAAGAACCAGGACTGAATTTCTGTGCCCTCTTGGGATGGATTCTGGGTCTAGCCCTGGTAAGGGGATGGACTTAACCTAGATTTCTGTGTCCCTCTGGAAGGGAATATGGGTACATGTCTTTGGAAGGAGAAGAAACTGAACTGGATTTTTCTGGACTCTGGGTGTCTCCACTGAGAGGGAAATGAAGTGAAGGAATAAGAACCAGGATAGGGAAGTAGGGAAGATGCAATATTTTAGTTAAGAACAATATGGAGATAGTAGGCAACTCACAAATATAGCGCTGACAATATTTCTACTGCAAGCTCACCTAGTGGTTTCATCTATAGGGGCTCGCATGGTGTGATAATAGTCACCAGGGGCCCCTTTTGGCCTTTTTACTCCCTTTAGTCTGGTGCCAAGGGGCCACATGGCAGGCATAAGGCCCCCTATGCCCAGGTACAGAGGCGGCTTCACCAGCTCCGAGCTGTTCCCACAGGGGCCCCACGTGCAGGAGGCATTCTGGTGTGGGCTGGGGGCATGGCTAGGGCATGCTCCTGCAAAGCTCAATAAGGGTCATTGAAGCACGGACGCAAGTAGCCAGTACCGGGTCTATGCCAGCCCCTGCAGCACAAACTGCCTCCTCTTTGTTACTCTGCCACAGGAGAATCAGATTCCAGCATCCTCTATCACACCCTGCTGTGTTGTTGCCCCAGACAGACATCTCTAGCTATTCACTGCGTCTGCTTCTCTCTGACCCAGTCATCCTCTGTAGGCAAGGAAGCTCCTCCAGTGGAGAGCTGTTGGCTTCTCCTTAGCAAAGGAGTGGAGGTTTCTGTTCAGTGGCATTAAACTACACAGCAAGGTAGCCACCACCCCCTGAGCTGTCGGGTAGACCCTGAGGTTGCTGTTAATACATATTGCTACCCCGAGGTATCTGTGCAAAAGACAACTGCAGTCTCAGGTGCTGACTTTTATTTTTCCCGGTGGGTGCTCCACTCCCACTCTGCCCCAAGGCCCTGCCCCCACACCGCTCCTTCCCCTGAGGCCCTGGCCTTGCTCTGCTTCTTCCCGCCTCTGCTCCGCCCTCTACCCTGAGGCCCCCAGCCCACCTGCCCATCGCTCACTGCTCTCCACCCTCCCCAAGTGCCTCCTGCCAGCCGCCAACAGCTGATCGGTGGCCCTGCCAAACAGCTGTGGCTGGTATGTGCTGAGCACCCCCTATTTTTTTCTGTGGGTGCTTGAGCCCCTGAGCACACACGGAGTTGGCGTCTATGACTGCTGTCACAAGAACTGATACATGAAGCCCAGAGCGCATGCATGGCAGGAGGGGAGCGGCCCCCTGCACCCCCCGCCACCGCACCCAGCTAGAAGAAAAATCAAACCCTCAAAGGACTGGGGTTCTGCTGATTCCCACAGAGAAGCCATCAGAGGGGTGGGTGCACGCTCCCTTGTGAACTTCCCACCAGGGTGTGCCCCCCCACCCATGATTCTTACATAAAATCATCACTTATAAAGTTTGCAGATGACACAAAAATTGTGGGGTGGTAAATAATGAAGAGGACAGTTCACTGATACAGAGCGATCCGGATTACATGGTAAACTGGGTGCAAGCAAACAATATGCATTTTAATATGGCTAAATGTAAATGTAGCCATCTAAGAAAGAAATGTAGCCATATTTACAGGATGGGGGGTTCCATCCTGGGAAGCAGAGACTCTGAAAAAGATTTGGGGGTTGTGGTGGATAATATGCTGAACATGAGTTCCCAGTGCAACACTTTGGCCAAAGGAGCTAATGCAATCCTGGGAGGCATAAAGAGAGTAGGGAGTAGAGAGGTTATTTTATCTCTGTATTTGGCACTGGTGAGACTGCTGCTGGAATACTATGTCCTGTTCCGATGTCCACAATTCAAGAAGGATGTTGATAAGCTGGAAAGGGAAGAGCCACATGAATAATTAAAGGATTAGAAAACATGCCTGATAGTGATAGACTCCTATAAACTGGATGGGCAAGTGCTGTCCCAAGGGATGAGCTCAGGACCCTAGTTTTGTAGGGTTCTTTCTTCACTCCCTTCCCTCCCCAACCCAATTACCCATCTGTAGGGTTCTGAATCTTGTCATGGTGGGGAAGCCTCCTGGCTCCAGATGAAGACCTCTCCTTTGCTCTTGTCCTGACTTGCTTCTGCTGGCCAGCTGTTCTCTTGACCTCTGTGTTCTGTTTCTTTCATGCAAGGAAAGGGCTTCTCCACCCCAAGTCTGTCTGTCTGGTGAGGTGGCCAATTCAGGGGTTAGAACCCTGATTTTCTGAGGTATTTATTAAAATACACCTCTACCTCGATATAACGCTGTCCTTGGGAGCCAAAAAATCTTACCGCGTTATAGGTGAAACCGCGTTATATCGAACTTGCTTTGAGCCGCCGGAGCGCGCAGCCCCCCCCCCCCCGGAGCACAGCTTTACCGCGTTATATCAGAATTCGTGTTATATCGGGTCGCGTTATATCGGGGTAGAGGTGTATGTTTGTTTGGGAAAACCCTGAGAAAAGGGAATGGCCCTAAAAGAGACTGATGAGCTCTGGCTGAGAGACTTCTGCCAGGAATGGACTGAGTGTCCAGGCGGAGGGCCACTCTCCCAAGGCTAGATGCAAAGCTCTTGCAGAAGAAGTTACGGAAGGGCTGTCCAGCCCTCGGAGCAGAGCTCTTCACTGACTCCTCTGGCTGTATCTCTTGTTCTCCAACTGCCAGGGCTATTGAGCATCTAAATGTAGACGGGTTCCTGAATCAGGGCAGATCCTTATTTTTCAGAGTGTTTTTGGTGTGGTTTTTTCTTACTAATAAATCGTCTGTTTTAATATTTGAACATTCCTGGCTCTGATAAATCTGAGTATCCAAGAACAGGACACATCAACTTTGCCAAAGAGACCCATCACAAAATGACAATCAGATAGCCAGAATAGCAGCTGGAGTCTTGTCATGATAAGAGAAAACATATCGATGCTGATTACACTGCAGGACCACTCATATGAAATCAAGAGGTCCTCAGACTCTGTAGGCATCCATGGCCCGGACTAGTTATTTTCACATCTGTGTGTGTGTGTTGCTAGGGGAATGACCCCTTCCCATACAAAACCAAAGCCACACAGCTGCATGCTCACTAATAACAATAATACTTTGCATGGCTGGGGCGTTTAATATGAAGATTTCAAAGCACTTTAGAAACATTAAGGAATTAACCAACCCTCACGATCGTCTTGAAAGATGAGCATTATCAGCCCCTTTGACAAAGGGGGAAGCCAAGATTAAGCGATTTGTCCAAGGTCTCACAATGATGCATTTGTAGAGCTGGGAATAGAGCCCACGAGTCCTAACTGCCAATCTGCCGCTCTAACCGCTTGACCATAGTCTTTCCTTTTGGCAGTGCACTTCTCTTCCCAGAGCTGTTATTCATTCTATCCCCAAGGTGGGTGGATGAAAAATCCAACTGGTTCTGTCCTTTTTGGAGGAAGTATCGTCCAAAGGGAGGAAGTACAATTTGGAGCCCAGCACTGTGCTTGTGCATGCTACATGCTCCAGGGGACTCTCCTATGCACAGTTCACTGCCAGGTCACGTTCAAGGGGCCTGCTCGCTGTCAGGGACAGATATTGAGACAGGCAAAACATCTTCTCACTGTGAGAGAAGCACACAGGAGTTAGGCAAATCTTAAAACAACCAAGGGCGAGAACCTGCTGGTGTCAAAGGACTAGCCCCAGAGGGACTCTCTCTGATCTCCACCTCTCGCAGTTGCTGCTGCATTAGTTAGGGGAGTCTCAGATTTTGTGTTTCTCTGTGAGGAATATGGGCTTTCACAGGGTGCCAGATCAGTGCACAAGGAATTGGCATCACACGCTGATGCTTCAAATTTGGCTTTGACATCGCACCCAAACAGTCAGAGGTGATGGGCCAGATTGTATCATTTAGGCACAGCCCCGACTAGGGGGCGCTGTGGAAGGGGAAGTGCAATGCTTCCCATAATTCCAGCGTGCAATGGATCACAGCTGCTGCGCCAGCCTTTAGGAAGGTGCAGCATGTGCTCCCCTGTGTGTCCGGCTGGTCTGTGCAAGCTGGTGTGGGGGACATAAGGTCATGACTCTGCCACTCCCCTATTACCTTTGTGGGTCTTTTGCTCTCCAGGGGGCACTGGAAAGGAACAGTCCTCAAAAGAACTCTGGAGCAACAGTAGCATCTTCTCTCTGTGGGGGGGTCTGAGAGTGGGGAGGCTTCTTGTGTCCTCTCCTGCTTGTGCACCTGTACAAAGGCCCTGCTCTGTCTAGCTTTCAGGTGGGCTCTCTAGGCATAAAATGAGGAGTATGTCTCCTAATGACTATGGGGTGCAGTCGAGGGGTCTGCTTATGGTATATCAAGGACTGTGTTGGAATTGCAAGCTCTCACTTTAAGTGTGAGGGGGGTTTCCTGGTCCTGCATGTAGGCTAGTGGGCTCTGTAGCAAAGCATGCAATCAGTCAGACTGGAAAGAGCCAGCTTAAAGAAAGGTGGGGTGACGCATGCCTCTCTGCCTTAGGGAGCAGCCTGCTTTGTCTCTCTCTGTTTTTGGGATCATGTGTGTTATTGTTCTGAATTCTAGCAATAAAGTAGTGTTACGTTGCAACCTTCCATTAAGAGTATTTATGTTTTTATCTAACTTCTCTGTGTGTATGCTGGGAACATAACACTGGTCATCGGGAATGTTGTATTAGGGTGAGAACCTCATCCAGGTTAGACGGGTGTCCTTTTGGTTTGTCCTGCTTTGGAGATGCTAACTAGGGCTGGATGGTAACTACAGTTAAACAAATAATGGATTTTTTGGTTCAGAGGCTGAATTTAAAATCCAGGAAAAATAATCCAGTCTGTCAAATAAAAAAAAAAACCTCAAAAAAAATACTGTTTCAAACCAAAACTATTTGATGACCCAAATTTGGCAAAGGAACCTGCCAAAATGCATTGTTTGGTGACAAAATAATTTGTAAAAAAAAACAACCCCAAAACATTTGCCTCGCTCTAATGGTTACTGGTTCACAGTCTCTGGCACAGTCCGTGCTGCACAGCTCATCCGTTAAAATCAGGGGTGTCTCTCATGTAATTCATTTCCTGAATTGTCTCTGTGTGTGTGCATGCAAAGGAAGGGTTGGGGGGGGGGGTGAATACAGGGGTCTTTGTGGCACCTCAGCCCTTCCCCAATATC